TTGCTTCCAACTCTGTTATTCTGAATTCATTCTCAAGTGTTGCAAAATTGGAAATTTCCAAATAATTATAGGAAGGCACCTTTCTTCCTTTTGTAAGGATCTATCTGATGCTGTGTATGATTTGTAGGGATGAAAGGAAGACATATTTTGTAAGGCGATAAAACTTGGTTCTATCAACTAGCCTGGGCCCCTGACAGTATTCATGATTAACTTCAATGTGGGATGTTATGAATGTCCTTGGCAGCTGTTTTATGTTATTGATGTTGTTTTCTAAATTTTGTTTGTTTTATCTATCATTTATTTTTTAATTGTTAGCTGCCCATAGTCATTATATGAAATGAATAGCTATATACATTAATAATAAATAAATAGCTTGGCATTTAGAATTTAAAACCATTAGAGTATATGTCAGCACTGGAATCAATAATATTCAAACTATATTGACAGTTCAAGGAACACAGTTGAAAGTGAGGGCAGCTTTTTATTCCTATTTTTAGAATTTGTAGGACTTCCACTTTCTGAATGGCTTTCAGTTATGTTGTAAATTAATAACAATGCTTTTAGATATGGAAGGTATTTGGGATGGTGATTTGAAAGAACAATAATTACTTGATTCTTTGTACAGTATATACTGGAAAAGTAGGATATTAAAACACAATCTAATGAATATTATTTGGTTTTGAAGCAGACCATTACAATGATTGTTTTAAATTAATTTTTGTTGGGTCCCAGGACACATAGGTATTATGAAGAATGAAAAAGGAGGATTTGTTTACTTCTGATATGCTTGTTCCTTTACTTTTAACTCCTTGAGAAATCAAATGTGGACTTAAATGGGGGTTCAGAAATAAATAACAGACAGTGGTAAAAAAGACATATTGAAAGACACTTGATTTCTGCCCTGATTTGGATGTTTTTTGGGGGTTTTGATTATCAGGTTCAGGTGAAGCACATTAGTCTTTTCAGAGCCAATCTAGGTTTATTATACATTAAGACTGAGTCTCTTCAGATAGGAAGAGGTACAATGGAACTATATGGTGATGTTTGTTGAACAGAAGAAAAACGTGTTCATGTTCTTCAATACTCCTGGTGTTAAAATGACAAACATCTACTATTTCAGGGACTTTCTAACTTGAGTATTTGAATTCTTTCTTACCCAGTGATATACTAGCTACTTTGCCATTCTTTTTTTTTATTGAAAAAGTTTTATTAACAATTAACAAAAAAATTTAACCCCCAAACCCCCCACCCACCCCCTACCCTCCCACTTCCCAGAGCCGAGTACAGTTGGTTATTACAAACATATTAAACAAAATCTAATTAAATTTAACAAATTATACAATAACCAAATTCATACTTAACCCTTAACTCCCTTTAAACCTTAATATCATAATATTATAAACAAATCCATTTTAAAACAATTATTATAAAGTACCATAACAGTAAATAAACTAAATAATTTCCATTATAAAATGCTCTTAATAATTATTATTATTTAAAATTTAATCATAAAATAAATGAAACTTTTTAGTTCCATATTTAATCTGAATATAATCTATCCATCTTCTCCATACCATAATATATCTTTCTTGTGTATGATCCTTTAAATAAGCAGAAATTTTAGCCATTTCTGCTAAATTAGAAACCTTAAGTGTCCATTCTTTTATAGTAGGCAATGAATTTTTCTTCCAATATTGACCTACCAATAACCTTGCTGCTGTTACTAAATTCAACATTAAAATAATTTCTTTAACATCAAAATCCACAAAAATCCCTAATAAAAATAGTTGAGGAGTAAACTTTATCTTCCTTTTAAAAATCTCTTGAATGTTCCACCAAATCATAATCCCAAAAGCCTTAATATTTTTACAAGTCCACCAAACATGAAAATAAGTTGTGTCAGAACTACCGCATCTCCAACATTTAGGCTGTAAATTAGGATACATACAAGGACTTTTTAGGATCCAAATGCCACCTATAAAACATTTTGTAAAAATTTTCCCTTAAATTTTGAGCCTGTGTAAATTTAATATTTCTAATCCAAATTATCTCCCATAAATCCAATGGGATCAGTTCCTGGATATTCTGAGCCCATTTAACCATACAATCTTTAACCAAATCCATTTCCGAGTCCAATTCTATTAACGCATTATAAATTCCTTTTATGTGGGCCTGATTCTGATCTTTAATCTGAATTACTAAATTTTCATCTCCTAATGTTATTCCAACTTTCTTATCTAAAGTCCACCTATCCACTATTTGTAAATACTGAAACCATGACTGTAAAATATTTTCTTGCCTTAATACATCTAAAGATTTTAATTGCCAGTCAGTACCTGACCAAATAAGTAATTCTTTATACGGAATTTTTTCAAAATTCATCCCCTTAGAAATCCCCTCAATTGCATGTCCAGGAATCCCCCAAGTAGGTATTTTGTAATTTAACCTATAATAATACTTCTTCCAGACTCGAAGTAAGGCATTTCTTAAAATATGTGATTTAAAAGCCCGATCTACTTTCTTATTGAAAATTAAATATGCATGCCAACCATATAATAAATCCCACCCTTCAAGAGAAAGAATATTTTTGTTTGTTAAATTAAGCCAATCACTTATCACTGCCATTCTTGAGGATAAATTTATGGCATTTTAGGATTTGTGATTTTTTTGGAATTAATGGAATGTAAAGATTATTTTGATAAGTGAAAATGAAGCAGTAAACTGGTGATAAACTTTGCTTTGCTTTGCTATTTCTCTCAGGAAGAACATGAGCTTAAATGTGCCAACAATCTTTCCCCACACCCACATCTCAAACTGCGTTAAATAAGGAGATTTGCTAAGGGAGCACACTCAAACAAACAAAACTCTCTGTGAAATGAGGAATCAGAATGCAAGTTTCTGGCCCAATACAGGAGTAATTCCAATTCCTCTTACTTGTACTGCATAAACATACTCAGACATAACATCTGAATAGAAGTCTTCTGGATACAACTCCAAGCTTCACTATCAGGATTTTACATGCCACTCTGCTTAATATTATCTTGTGCAGAACCAACAATGTCTTGAAACTGTTTTTATACCTACTTTGTTGACATCGCCCAGGAAGTCAGCAATTCTACTTAAATTAAAAGAATTGGATGTGGGAGGAAGAATGTGTCATCTCTATCTTCATAAGGCAGAATCTGATCCCCTGCTGTGTTTCCAATATGCTTCCCATTTTTTCTACATATTTCTTCCCCTTTTCTTCACAAAACAGCAGCTTCATTTCACATCGATTTTTTTCATATTCTTTCACATCTTCCCACTCACAGATATACACAAATGCAAGTTTACATTATTTTCTTCTGCTGATAATGGAGTTCTATAGTGACAGCAAGTGCTGCCAAATATGTGGGTAACATTTAGTTTAAGTTCAAACTGAATTCTTCACCTCTATCATGATGTACAACTTGCTCAGTAGAAAAATTGAAAAAAGCAATTTTGTGTTCATAATAAAATAATTTGCTTATCCCCCACCTCTTTTCTATATATAAGACCTTGCAGTTTATCCACAATAACTTGCATGAAGACTTCCAAAAGTGAAGTCTTGGGAGCTAAGAAACGACTTTACTATTAAGGAAGGAGGTTGACATGAAAAAGATACTCTTCTGGAAAAATGTATATTGAAAACATGCATACATACCCCACAATTCTAATTTTCTTGGGAAATGTGCTAATTTCTACATTTACTATATTTCATACTCTTCTGTAATATCTGACAATTCAGACTATGAGATGGCAAGATTACTCTGAACTTTTTAATGCTACATTGATCAATTCTTACTCTTGCTTTAGATTAACAAGAAGATATTTTTAATAAAGAGAACCTAAAGCTAGAATTACAGATTTTTATCACAATGTTTTTAAAGATGGTTTTCTAGAGGTGTGTGTTGTATGTGTATGTATGTATGTGTGTGTGTATATATTTATATTTTTTAGAACTGAAAGATATGATTCCCCTAAGCAAGCAAATATATAGTTTTCTAACTATTTCAGTCAATTATATAATCAGAAAATACATAGTAATCATTATTTTCATTATTGTAATAGTTATAAAAAGTGATATATTTTGTACACAAACATCTTGATATTCAAGCTTTATAATTAAGATTTTGCTAATTCCCTAACAAATAAACTGCTGTCCTTTACTGTTGGCCATAAAACAACATTGGATACTTTAGTAGAAATGGCTGGACATTGATCAGACAACAAATGCACATAAAATTCGAACACCAGTCTTTCATATACACTGAAATGGGTTATGATAAAATTGGAATGAATACTTCTGTAAGATAGCATTATGTGACAATGTAGAAAAATATATCACCATCTCTGTCCTTTTAGTGTTACATGGACAATATATTGAGAAAGATGAACTATTTTATATCTGCCTACCAAAATTGCTAAAGGAAGACATTAAACCAACCCAGTGAAAAATCCCTATGCAACATTGGCAACGTAATAGATGATCATGGTAATCTTATATTCAATTACAGGTAACTGTATTTTGAAGCTAAACATTTTCCTACATTTCTGGAATGTATTTTCAGTACTACAATGTATTACAGCATTCAAACAAAGCACTGGATCTAATTTCTGTGCTGCTCTTGATAAGCACAGGTGAGGAATTAAGAAGGAACAGATGTGATGTATATCCAATCCCATTCAAAACTCACATAGCTGATTTAGCTTTCATACTGCATATACATTTCATTCCTGCATATTAACAATAACTCCATACTCAAACAACAAGAAGCCACTAGGCATTGCTATGCAGTGCTTCAGCTTTTATTTGTAAGACATGTTTTGTAATGTGTGAGAGTGCAAACTCAACGTCCAACTTTAATGAGGTGCAGACTGGTGCTGTGTTTATGTTCTTGTACTATATGTTCTGGAGCACCTCTTTGAATTGAATTGAATTGAATTGGAAGCCTGCACAGCTTCATTACTAAAAAGCATATTAGGCATATTTACTACTATATGCTTCCTGCCATCAATTTACCTGATAAGCCTCCCACATCCATCTTCTTCAGATTCTTTGCTTCTAAGATGACAACAGTCAACTTGCCAGCAGTAGGCACATAGCGGAGAGAGAAACAGATGTCACCTAGCTTCTCTTGCTGCAACAAAGCAAAGGGAACTGTAAGTAGATATATATTGCTTAAAACCAAAGATTAACACATTTATTTTCTAAAACACTGTTGTAAAATACTGACCTCTATGTTAATCTGTTAAGAAAATGAGGCATCTCAACATACCTGAATTCAAAGTATAAATTGCTTTGTTATATCATGAATCTGAAGCAATAACTAGAAAAAGATTCTATTATTTCCTATCAGTTCTTGTGATATTATACCTGTTAAAAATACTAGTAAATTCACATTCAAATTTTCAGGATTTATAAGTGGGGCCTTTCCCACTTCTGTAACAATGAGAAAACAAAATGTGGAAAGTATGTGCAAATATACACTTATTTAATTAAAAGCAACTGTTAAAAATTTAATCTCTTTGCAGATGAAATTGGTATATTACATTTTTGAAGTTTATAAACATGGAATATTTAGTATGTAAAAAAGATCTCAATATTAATCTGGCTCAAACATCATCTTTGAATTGAACTTGGAAATAAAGTTCTGTGCCCAAACTTAGTTTCAAGTAACACAAAATTATCTTCAATACTAGACCATTGTTTCGCACCCTTGGCAACTTTAACATGTTTGAATTTCAATTCCTGGACTCCCCAGCCAACCAACTGCACTAGACATAATTCATCATCCTATTGATCTAGATCTTTTTATTTATAATAGCACTTAGACTTGAGTAATAATTTGAATTGTGGGCATATATTTTCATTAAACTTAATATTATGAAAATATTAATCAGTTCTTCCAATAATACTGTACTGAGGCTATATCTAAAAGCCAGACAATTTGAGAATGGTAGATCTTCTATTTTATTTTTTTTATCTTTCCATGACTGTAGTTATTTTGTCTCTCACAGTTGTTTCAAATATGTTAAATATACTAATTCCATAGCAATTTATAATGGGAAAATGCAGTGATAACAGACTTTTCAGTATGGCAGCTGATGCCTGACTCATTTCAAATTTGTATTTTTCTGCATCCACAAATGTGTCAATTGTTAGCTTACTGCTCGCTGCTGTAAATTATTAGCAACACTTTTAGCACGAATATTAGATTAGTTGCGATAGTCATCAGCACATCATTAGTTCTGTTGTCAGAAAACAGTGAACTGTACTGAGCCTTGCTATGTTCAGTTTTGAAAGATAAAATATCATTCATAAATTAGCAAACAACACAAGTGTTGTCCAAATAGACACAATGGCCTCTTCCAAATGTCAGCATGAGTTCAGAGTTTAACTAAATATATGAGAATTCTCTATGGTTATGAATATGATGAACAATATTGCATTACTAAAGGCTTTCAGCACACAAAAATTAAACAACCATTGCAAAATGACAAAAGCTTTCTATTAAATGTACAAAAATATGTATATCTGAGGCTGGAATGATAAGAACAAGAAAAGACTTCATACTGTTCAGTAATGATCATTAGGAATAGTCTGCCGTTGTGATCTTAGATCTATGCTACTTTAGTAGGGTAAGAATATTACTTTAAAAAAAAAAACCCTACAGAATTAGGTTGTGCTTAAACAACTCTAACTAGGCATTTTAGGCCTCTGATCTTTCTTTGACAGATAGCTCTCATTAAATACACTCATTATGAAGTGTAGTATAATTACACATTTACCTTAGGGAATATGATAATAAACCTCCTTGAAGACAGTCTTCTGTATGGTATTAGACAACTCCATAAAAGGATATAAGTTAAGGGTGTGCCAGTAACCACTGAATCATGTGTCACCTCCTAAGGATAGTTCTCAGTTTCTGTCTAATTTTGTCTAATACAGTGGTTCTCAACCTGTGGGTCGGGACCCCATTTGGGGTCGAACGACCATTTCACGGGGGTCGCCAAACAACGCAGTCTGCCATTTTTCCCCCTTTTTCCTTAGCTATGCTACTCACTTTTATTCTATTGGCTTTTGAAAGCCAATAGAATAGACTCTCTTGAATAGAGTATAATTCTATTGGCTTTCAAAAGCCAATAGGAATTGTCCAGGCTGTCTCTGCTGTTAAGCCCGGCAAAAGTCCCATTCTGCAAATGGTGCTGCACCAGTTGAGTAGTCCCCGACTTATGACCAGTTGTGTAGTCCTCGACTTACGACCGGTTGGGGGTCGCGGCATTAAAAAGGTTGAGAACCACTGGTCTAATAGATTTAAGTACAACCAGGTTGTATATTAACACTGATTTCAGTTATAAATATAAGCCACCAACAAAGCCTGCTCAACTGGACTCTCATTTCCATAGTTTTTGGGTATCAGCTAAGGCTAGAATATCTCATTGGATATACAACATTGTGCTCTCATAAATGGCTGCTATTTGAGACTTCCTATGGGAAATGATGGACTGAAGAAATTGCTGAAATGGCAGCCCACACCCAACTATATTTTGGGGACCCAGGCAGGTTTCCTGGAGCCTGACATTCAATCAAAAAAACTGGCTTGAAAGTCTTCCAGAGAACCAGTGCTTTCGAGAAAGAAATTGAGATAGTATAGACAATAGAAAAGTTTGGAAAACAACCATATGTCTACTGTATTTTGTTTTTTTTGTAGGAATCTGTAGCTTAGGGTTCCCTGAAACAATATTTTTGCCTAAAAAGCAAAATTAGAAACTATTTAGCACAGTCACAATTAAGAAACATATTCTTTAGTATTCAGTATTCTGAATTCTTAAGTACTGCATTCTGTGAATATTTAGATGTTCATAATCAATGCCTTGCTACTTTGCAAATCCCCCCTGTGGTTGGAATTCAACCCTGCATTTCAGATTTTCCTACTGCATTTTATGAGCACAACCAAAAGAAGATACAAAATCATACTGCTAATGTTGCTTTATGAAGTACCAATCACAGCTATAGAACTTTCTAAATATAAGCTTCTTCATGAGAAGAAAGTTCAAATGTGAACAATGCACATAGATCATCTGTCCATTAAGTAGAAATTTGTTTCAATGTATTCCATGTATACATCCATATTTTTTTAAAAAAATGTGCTCCCACCTTGCTAGTGCCCCTACCCTGGTGATATTTTGAAGGGCCTTCACCAAGGCCTTTGCAGAGGATGACTCTTCTTCCATTCTGTTCCTCTCTGGGTTTTTTTTTTTAGACTAGACTAGACTAGACTAGGATAGGATAGGAGCTGGAAGGGACCTTGGAGGTCTTCTAGTCCAGCCCCCTGCAGCAGGAGAACCTATACCATCTCAGACAAGTGACTGTCTAGCCTCTTCTTAAAAATCTCCAGTGATGGAGCGTCATTTTGTTTGCAATTCTTGTTCTTCTGCCTTCTGTTGTATTTGTTTTTCCTACGGTTCTTTGTTTTTAAATGTTTTAAGAAGTGTAAGCATCCCCAAGTCATTGGGAGTTGGATGACACATAAATTTAATAAATTATTATTATCAAATGTGAGTGCTAGAATATAATAAGCTATATCTGTTTATATAATCATTAAAATTATGTGGTGGTTAATATGCTGATATAGAGTCATGTACTTGTATTTTTCAAAGATAATTGAAAATCCCTACCAGATTAAGGAACAGAGAAATGTCTCCCTAGGGGTGATTATTTCACAGAGGTATGTTATTGTTATTATGATCAACTTTCATTTTTAGATATAATTTAGTTTAACCAATTGCTGGGATCACTGGAAGGAAACTTCCACCTGGTGTTAGAATGGTCCTACAGGGAGATTCACTGAGGTTAATTTCTTTCTTTTGAATGTTCAATTGCCAATCAATTCAATTGCTTCTTTTGCTTTAAGCAGCTTGATAATATACATAAAATTACTCCCACTGAACAGAACATAAATTAATTCAAAGCTTTAATAGATCACACCAGAATAATTTTCTTCTTTACAAGAAAAGGTCAGTTAAAACCCACTGAGCCAGCAACTGTTCTGTTAGGAAAAGGCTCCAAGTGATTAACATTTTGACAAAGAAATATTTTTTTTTACTTTCTCTATTGGTATTCATTTTAATAAAAGGCAGATACAACAATAAACAACAAAAAACATAAAATTCTCATTTACTTTATTGTCGTTAGGATTATGATTCATTCAGTTGTTTATGGTTCTTTGGGGACCAATAAACAACAAATTATTTCAGCATTATTAATAGAGCTTAATTTTTAGTGCCAAACAGTTCTTCTATATATTTGTACTAGATTTTTTTTAAGATCTTGTTTTTCCAGTAGATTTTTGTTTTATTTTTATTGTACCCATTTTTTCATAAAGTTCCCTTCTTTTCTGTAATTTTCTTAAATCAATCCATCCCCATTTTGTTGTTCCTTTCAGTTTCTTTTCATTATTTACTTTGTTGCAACTATTCATTTCTTTTTGTTCTTCTGTAGATTTGGTTGCTAAATTTCTGCCTAGCTAACATTTTCCTTTCTGTTTTCAATGTGTCAGAAGGCAGCCATTTTGCTTTCTTTCAATTTTGGAACACTTCTACATGCAAATCTTTAATTGGGTTACAAATCTTAGTCCAGAATTGTTCAAACACTCTATCTAATTCAATCAATTAATGACTTAGATGAGGGAATTGAAAGGAAACTCATCAAATTTGCAGATGACACCAAACTGGCAGGAGTAGCCAACACCCCAGAAGACAAACTCAGGATCCAAAAAGATCTTGATAAACTTGAACAATGGGCCCTATCCTACAAAATGAATTTCAATGTGGAGAAAAGCAAAGTCTTACATATTAGGCAGGAAAAACCAAAGGCACAAATACAGATTGGGAGAGAGCTGGCTTAAAAATAGTAACTGTGGGAGGAAACTTGGAGTCCTAGTGGATGATCACTTGACTATGAGCCAGCAGTGTGCAGCAGTAACCAAAAAAGCTAATACAATCCTGGGTTATATAAACAGAGGCATAGAATCAAGATCATGTGAAGTATTATTACTGCTTCATAAAACCCTAGTAAGACCACAGCTGGAATACTGCAGCCAATTTTGGTCACCGTATCACAAAAAAGTTATCGAGA